CCGGACGCTTTATCGCCCTCCATATTTTTACGTCGTCAGCGTACAGGAGAGTCGGGCAGCTCAGACGGCGTGGTAGATCATTGATGAAAATCAAAAACATCAGTGGTCCTAGGATAGAACCCTGCGACACTCCTGATGACGATCTGTGCCAAGATGATCGGACTCGGTTAACCTTAGTGCAAAATTGCCTGTCGGCTAGGTAGTCCTTCAACCATGACAGAAGTGGCTCACCTATGCCTGCCTGGCTTATTTTATGTAGGAGAAGGTCATGGTGAACAGTGTCAAATGCCTTCTCAAAGTCTAGGAAGACCACATGGACTGGTACGTTCATGTCCCAGCATGATGTCCAGTCGTCCTAAGCTGACAGTAGGTTAGTGACGCAGGATCTGCCTTTTCTGAAACCATGTTGGGCTTCATGGAGTATATTAGACCTATCGAAATATTCCCTGATGTGGTCGTCAATAATACTTTCCAGTACTTTTGATACCACTGGGAGTAGAGCTACTGGTCTATAGCTAGCAGCGTTTTGCCTGTCCCCACCCTTGAAGATTGGAGAAAGGATGGCTCTTTTCCACTCCCTTGGCAGGGTCCCCGAATCCATTGAATGTTGGAACAAGTCGCACAGGGGTCTACAGAGAGCCTCGGAGATTGCTATATGAATAATCTTTTTTACCACATCCCAGTGTTCATCCACAGATAGGTCGCCCCATGCTAAGGGCCAGTCTGCGTCGGACAAGAGCCTCCGAATTTCAGCATAGTCAGCCTTGCTGTAGCACAGACATGGTCGCGTAACGTCCCATTGCAAATGCTCATGGAGAACGTAATCGAATCTTTTGACGGCATGGTCACTGCTTCCTAGGGAAGTCACGATCTAGATCTTTTCGACGAGTAGTTGGTCACTAGTTAGAATGTAGTCTAGTTTTAATGGCTTTCCACTAGGGCCCCGTCTAGTGTCGTCTCCAACATTCTCAGTCAGTCCCGTGTTTCGAATGGTTTGCAGTAGACTTCGGCCAAATTTTCCCCTAGGACACCCCGAGCCAAGGCCCAGTGATGGGGCGTTGAAATCTCCAGCTATGGTGATTTGGTCGTAGCCCAAATCTCGTATCCCTGTGATAGTGCTGAGCAGTAGCTGATTGTGCTCTGCCCCACAGGTGGGAGATCGGTAGATGCCACCCAGTAAGTGCTTGGTGTGGCCTACAGTGAAATGACACCATATGGAGTCTGGGAGTTCAGTAAGTGGTGGGTCCGTTGTGCGCACACATTTAAGTTGCCTATCAAAGTATATAGCAACTCCCCCTCCTTCCTTATTATCCCTGTCTCTTCTGACCAGTACCATATCACCTATACTGATTTCATTGTCGGCGATAGTGGGGTTTAGCCACGTTTCAGTAAGAATAATTATTTTCAGTTGAAGGTGTGCTTGGAGATTTCGGAGTTCACCTACTTTCCCTCTCAGCCCCCTCACATTGCTATATAGGCAACTGACAGTGAGTCTAACAACCTCAGAGTGTTGTGGGGTAGTTGACGTGAAACCGTCTGCTGGTGGGGGACTTGATGTTGGAACTAGTTGGCCGATTCCGATAGAACCGGCCCGTTGTAGTTTTTTTCAATGGATTTAGGCAGGACACTTGGGAGACACAGACTATTATTTTCAGAGCTGCATCGCTCTAGTGTCACCGAAGCTTGGGGTCGTAATAAAGCCTCAGTTTGCTGCCTCCTTACATTTCTGGGTCTGCTTTCACAGCATCGGATGTGTCCTCCAATTTTTCCCTTGGTCTCATACCACCGTTGAAGTGATACGGACAACTGCTCCGGGGAGTTGAATGTGACACACAGCAGCTTTGGAGAGTTAATCAATGTTAGATGAGCGGGACGAGGTAGTCAGAAAATGGAGATGGCTCCAGAAGCGCCAGGGGCCATCTGAGATGACAGCCATCTCCATTGTTGTACGTCGTGCATGTGTTTTTCACAAGCAGTGCCGGTTTCCAGCTCCGGAACACCATGTACCACCATAGACGTGGAAGGCATCAGTTCCGGTGACTCCCTCGCCATATTTCTGACAGCCCATGGTCTATCTTGCCGCGCTCTTATGTTAGAACTTCTGTCCAGGGCTAGTACCTGAGCCATTAACAGTACTTTTTCGGCCTCTTCGGCCGAGTCCAGTGTAACCCGTAATGGGGGTGGCTTACCCTGAGGCGTGTGGACACCCCTGTACAGTCTGCACAGTTTTGCTGAACTAATGTCCAGACCTAGTTTGCCGCACAGGTTGGACCACTGTTCCTGATCAAACAGGGCCCGTTGTTCGAGCAAGCTATCCGTGCTCACAGGTACGTTAAAGAGGATGAGAGAGCTAGACCGACTACCCTCAGATTTAGGTTTTGCCTTCGGCTTCTTGCAGTCTTTTGCATCATTAGCAACATTAGGATTCATCGGTACCTGGACATCCTTTTTTGTGTTGCCAGGCTTGCTAGTGGATGCAAGTGGTGCCTTTGTAATTTTGCCTCCCGCTGATGTGGATGGAACCTTGCTAATCTTCACCTTGTGAGAATTGGCATTTTCAGTCAGTAGGGCTGGTGTGTCCTTCTTTAAGTCTTTGACCAGTTTCGGCAGTGCGAGTTTAGCAGGTGGGGAGCTGCATGATACTGTGTTGGGACACAAGAGCGTGTTATATCTGCTATCCGCAGACACGCTTTGTGGGACTATGCCAGGGCGACAAAGTGGACACACGTACCAAAACCATGGGCATGGGTTATTTCTCATAAACTCATAGTATGCTTTCGGTACTTCTTTGTCACAGCGGCAGTGCACCCATCGTTTGCAAAAATTACATTCAAACGCTGAATCAGTTTTGGAAACTGTGATGCTGCACGCCTGGCATTCATCCCCTTTCCTTGATGACGCCTTCGAGGTCTTATGACGTCTTGAACGTTTCCTTTTAGGCTTGATGTGTTTCACACACTGGCCTACAGTTGATGCAGGTGTAGAATTCTGTCCTTCTGGTATTGCCTGTGCCGTTTCAGTACTGGACTGTGGCAATGCATGCGTTGTATCAGGGCAGACTAAAGCTACACGAGTCTTTAGAATCGGTATGCGGGAAGGGGTTGAAATCCCTGGATTTTTTCCTTCCCTGGCTGAAGCCCTTGTGACTACAGAGTACGGTAATCTAGTGGCTTTTTTAAGGCTGCTTTCGACAACCATATTAACAATCACTAAAAATTATGCTATGTACGTCTAAGAGAGCAACAGTTTCTAACCAATAGAGCAAGAATAAGACTGAAAATGTATAAGGCAAGGAAAAGAAAAGGTTTTCGACTTTACCTAGTACTTTCTGAATGATCGGCTTCACGGCAATCACGTGGTAGACCAACAAGTCTTGTTTCTCTGAACGAGTGAGGAAGATGCTGCTACAAAAGTAGCACCTGAAGCTTTGGCAGTAGTTCGAGACAGCTGGACTTACCACACAGAGATTTACTATGTAAGTAATGGTTGAATTAAATTCACCGGCTAGGAAGATCAGGTTTCCCAAACGGATAATTCACAGAATTGGTATTTTCCGGTTGGAGAGGAAAAGGGTGAGGATATAGGTTGTGCGAGTTATATTTTCCGCGACTCAGTTTTTTTCGTCTTTCATTGGCTAGAATGGTGGCGGTCAATTGCAGTTTGAATTGTCCTTGGGTGCGTGCTGTCGGGTGCTGTATTTGCGTCGTTGTGTTTGCTTCGTTTTCCAGCATATGTGATTACTATAAACGTGTATTAGACTATTGTAACGCTTGGTTTTTCTTTGTTTGTGCATGTACTAGGCTTTACTTGTCGTACAATTCGTTGTTTGGTCTATTGGTTGCTTGCGATGTCAACGAACCGGTGGGTTCTTGTGTTTTTCTGTAATTTAGGTTATACGTGCGGTATTTTCTTGATGGTTATCGATCATCCCTGTATTTCAATGTTGTTTTCTTACGATTTATCTTGGAATAGTTGTGACATAGATGGATCCTAATTGCTAATTGTATTTTAGTCCGTTGCAGGTAGTCAATTTGAGTGACAGGAGCACAGATTTAAGTGGAATTTTTGCTGAATACATACTTGGAAGGCGTTTCTTGAGCTGGGATGAATTTGAGAAGTCATTAGCAGAATTTCAAAAAGTGAGGAAGTCATTTAATGCTAACAGTGTAGTTATCCTACACTCACTATGTTCATAATTGCAGCAAAACGATACGGGATGACAGGTTTAAGTACGCTTATGTTGGTTTTAAATGCACTTTTGGAGTGAATCGTACAAGACCTGGATTGAAATTGAAAAACAAGTCGTAAGAAGAAGTGTAATATGATTTCATGGATATTTCAGGTCTAAATGTTGCAATTGCTCGTCTTCATTTCGCGTGGTTTTTCATTATAGTGAATACATAATTGCTTCCCACAATATGGTGCATAACCATCCATGCAGCAGGGTGTACATGCAGAATGACCCATGGTATAGACGACTAACAGTTGAAGAGAAAGAAAATATTGAACCACTTCTTCAGCAATCCCACTCGTCCGATGAAATAATAATGCATGTTCAGGAGAGGTACAACAAGGATATAACTCGCATTGACGTTAAAAATATGAAAGCCGCAGTGAATAAAGGTAACGTTGACGTACTTGTTACATACTTAAGGTATTTCGAGTCGTCGTGACATTTTTGAATTCCTAAAATCCCGTGGGAAGTTAATGGAGTATTACTCCGATGAACCGTTCAGGAATTCACTAACAAGAATTTGTTTTGCAACTTATGAGCAAATGGAGTTGTATAAACAGTTCCCTGAAGTTGTTGGTATCGACTCGACGTATAATACAAATAAGGGGAAGTAAGTTTACCAAATCATTAACCAACGTGCAGGTATTCTTTGTTCCAATTACTTGTGACGGATAATTTTGGTCGTGGACGACCAGTTTTATTTGCGTGGACTAGAAAAGAATTCAAACGAGATGTAGTTTGGATATTAGACTGTTTCCGGCAAATAATGGAAGATACCTCGAAAACAGAATCCTTCATTATGGATTGTGCGCAAGCTGAAATAGCAGCCGTCAAGTTAACGCACAGACAAGCGCACATTGTTTTGTGTTCTTTCCATGTTTGCCGAGCTTTCTGTCGGAAAGTAAGTTTTTCAAAGCATACTTTACATTTTATTCGTAGACAAGAAATCCCATTGTGAAGAATTATTTATGCCGTCTAGTGCAGTGTAAAAGGAGATCAGAGTAATGCCTCTATTGTTCTCATTTTGCAGATTTAATTTCTACTTTAGAGTTATTAGCAGATTGGATGCTAATGTCAGTCAATATCTACAACGTCGTTGGATGCATCGACGACAATTGTGGGCAGCATGTTTCAGAGATAACGTGCTGACTTTTTGGAACGATACAAATAATCGTGTCGAGAGTTCCCTTTACGTTTTTTGTTTCACCTTTTGTAGTTAACCATGTGATGCAGAATTGCAAACAATGGGCATGGTCACGCAACTTGTTCGCATCTCAATGCACGTCAGCTGTTGTCCCTCAAAATCAAAGTGGCCAAATCGAACCCTATATAAGTATTGTGGCTAAGGGCTTGAGGAAAATGAATGACAAATTTGGAGATGTGTTTGCCAGGAATTATGCTATAGAAGTAATCGCAGGAATCAATCGTACTCTGAATATGTAAATAAACTGAATTTGTATCATAATTAAAATATAATTTTAATGTCAATCTTATTGTCTTTCAATTCATGTGTTCCCTTCTTGAGCACGGCATGCTAGACCGGTGCTCTCTAGGACTTTAACTATACGTAAGTGTAATTGCGTAGAAACGATGTCGGTCGTCATACGTTTTAAATTATAATTATTTTAGTGAAGTTACCTGGTTACGTCTCATAGTCATATAGAAGTCTTTAGGGACAAATGACAATAGTAGGCATAACTTAGGCACTGCATTCCAGTTCCAGTTCTTAAATGGTTACGTGTATTCTAAAGTATTGCATTACTAATGTTTCACTTAAAGCGTGATGTCAATCCATATGACTAAGGCTGTTAACATGTAGCGTAAATTGAAGTCTACACGAGACAAATTATTGAATTCGTTCAGCTTTAGCACTCGTAGTTACATTTACCTTACACTAAATTATGCCACCAATTACTTCGTCAGGTATCATTAATAAGTCATGCCTGCATCTAGTCATCATGACAAATATATCTACGCTCGGATAGAATAAGAAAGGTCTGGTAAGCAGGATGTTAAATGTATTTAACGAAAAATAATAACAAGCAAATGTCTTTACGCAGTTGTTTGTCGTAATAATTGGGGCAATGTCGGATCTCTGTGACCGGGTTTACTTACGTTACCGGATATCTACAAATAAGTAAACAAAGTGTTTTTTAAATCACTGAAGTAAGAAACCAGTAATATCAGAGTTAAACACTTCAGATTTGCCTACCTTTGCTGAAAATGGTTCATTCTCCTTTCTCATTCTTTGTTCATGACATCATTCTTCTGGGGTTTTCACTGCCACACACATTATTCCTCTTCTAAAGGATAGCAGCAAGCATATAGTAATGATTCCATATTTCGTATAAACCAATGTTTACAAAGAATGCATGTCATTTCTACAGGCGCAATAAGTTATGTTATAAACTGCAATCGTGAAGTATCATAAATTATAAGAGTTAAATTGTAAACCCTTAACAATGAACACCGTACATTTGGTTAAGTGCTATGTCCTTGGAATGTGAGTATACATTTGCAATGTTTAATGCCAACCATATTGGTGTAAACATAGAAAATATGACGTTTTCCATGAAAATACAGCTTTGTTCCAACACTGGTGTTGTTGTGTTTCTAATAAAAACAAATAGACTGTAAGCAAGCAACTAATAGGCACAAAGAGTAAGTCTCAGCTTTAATAAAGGCATATCCAGTTAACATAAAATGAAGTGTAATAGTGCACAAATGAAAAGACCATAGTGAAGTAGATAAGTGATATTTCAGTGAGAGGTAAATTGAAAGATCTGCAACCTTACAATTTGGAAGACAACCTGACATGTAAGATCTCTCACAAATTTCTATAGGGCCTGTGGGGTACCATGGATGGTTTGGCGTCAATCGCAGCTTTGGAATAATGACTTACAAATGCAAAAGGTAAGAACCAACGAAACTGCAGTAGTATTTTCTAGCTGTTCAGCATTTTTTCCTTTGATGCAGTTTCTTATCAACAGTTTGTAGTATTCACAACATCACAAGTTGCTTACAGATAACTTGTTTAATAATAACTGCTTTAAATATATCAGCCATAAGTGCATCTTCTACATCTCTCATAGCCACAATAAAGTCATTAAGGATCTCAGAATATCTTAGTGATGTGAAGCAAAATAATTTTTAAGATTGATATAACCTATGTAACAGGTGTAGTAGTTGTATGACACAGCCGCTAGCTACTAATCAACAGGAATCTGGTACTAATTTTAAGTACTCTGATATTTGAGAAGGACTATTTATACTATTCTTCCAGACACAATGAACACTGATGTCAATATACTCTGATGCCATTTCATGCACTGAGCAATTAAGGCCTTGTGAAATTCCATGTGCAAATGTCAATTAAACTATTTTTACATCTTTGCCCAAGCACTTTTAACTAGGAACTTCATCAAAATAGATATAATCACCAGGAAATTCAGCAGCCTATCTCATTCATCGCATAATGTCGTCGATGTTTTATGAGTTATCCATTGTCATCCCGGATGATAACAGAAAAGTTTAACATGTTCAAAGCACACATCTAACCTATGTCTGCATGCTATTTCTCTTTCATAGGCCAGATTCTCATAGATTCACTGGAATGACAACAGCCATTGCCTGCAGTATATTTACAACCTTAATTCTGAAACAGCTCGCAAAAAAAACCCTCAACGCACTATAATGCAAATAATAGTCTTTCTATGCGAACTCTCTTAAAAAGGATTACTTCTTCATTGATAATTCGTCCGAGCTATAATATACAATTTTACGATCTACTAAGAACAAAATGCAGCAAAATACTGCCATCCGGCTACAGAAGTCTAAAACTAGTCAAATATAATCTATTTCCAACAAAAATAGGTGATTATAACGTCTGTTGACGTGAGCGCGGTAACCGATGGCATTGCGCGATAACACCTCCAATATCCAATATCCTGATGACGAGCTAGTATAAACCAGTGATTTCTTTGAGCTCGCTTCTTGATTGTGAGGTAGAGGTTCCAGATCTTCGGTGAGCTTCTGCGTAGTAAGTCCCGACACTCGACTGCTTTAGCTCTGGTAGACTCCAGGAGGAGTGGTGCGGGGATTGGTCGAGATGTGGTTTGTAGTATGCAGTATGTTAGGACTGTATTGCTGCCGTGAATGGAGTTTGACCTAACTCCCCTTGGTCATTCGGTGTAGTCATAAAAGCAGAATAGTAATAATAATAATAATAATAGGTTGTAGTGTAGATAATATAGGTTGAGATAAGTGGAATAATAAAGGTGACCTAAGGAAAAGATAGAGTGAGAGAAGGCAGAATAGGTCGTGGGGATTTAGTTTGTACGCTTATTCATTGACAGTTTGGTTTCAAATTTTATGAGGATAAGCCATTGAGACACAAACCTTGCATTTCTGCATGATTGTCTAGCTTCCGCTTAAAAATCTCCAGAGATGGCGCTGTAGTCACGGCCGCCGGTAAAGCGTTCCAGAGACGGCAAACACGAAGCGAAAAGAAATGTGATCGCACTCGAGTCTTTGGTCTCTGGTGTGCTATCCTTAGCGGGTTACCTCGTGGAAGCCTATAATCGCTTAATGGCAGGATGCTTTTATTTGGGTGGGCCTGGTCATTTAGGATCTTGTAGACGGTGATGAGGTCTCCCCTGTGCCTACGGTAACTAAGTGTGAAAAGACCTAATTTCTTTAGTCTTTCCTCATATGATTTGTTGCGGAGGCCGATCACCCATTTTGTCGCTCGTCTCTGGACACTTTCTAGAATGTTAGCATCCCTTTTGAGTAGCGGAGGTGCAATGATATTATGCACCTCAAGGTGTGGCCTCACATATGCCTTGTATAGCCTTAAGAACAGTTCGGGAGTGAGAGCTCCCAGCTGCCTGTGCATAAAGTGTAATGTTGCGTAGGCTTTGGCGACGTCCCTCGAGTAATTTCCACTGGTGTCTAGCTTTTCTGTTAGAATAAGACCTAGATCACGCTCTGATGGAACACAACTCAAGTTCTGGCCACCAAGGGTGTAATTTACACTCTGTGACCTGCCGGAATGAAGCTGCACTACTTTGCACTTCTTTAGATTGAAAGGCATTCCGTTAGCCAAAGCCCAATTTCCCAGAGTTTGCAGGTCAGCCTGCAATCTATCTGAGTCTTCCGATGAGTTTATTGCTCTCCAAATCTTTACGTCGTCAGCGTAAAGAAGCGCAGAGCAGTTTAGTTGGGGGGCAGGTCATTGATAAAAATCAAAAACATCAACGGCCCTAGGATAGAACCCTGAGGAACCCCTGATGCCGAGGTGTGCCAGGATGATCGGATGCGGTTGACTTTGGTGCAGAATTCTCTCTCGCCTAAGTAATCTGTCAGCCATGCGAGAAGTGCTCCAGAAACTCCCGCCTTGCCTATTTTGTGAAGGAGCAGACCATGGTGAACTGTGTCGAATGCTTTCGCAAAGTCGAGAAAGATCACGTGGGCTGGTACCTTTTTGTCCCAGGATAGTGTCCAATCGTTCCAGGCTAGTAGAAGATTCGTCACGCAGGATCTTCCCCTCCTGAAACCGTGCTGTGCTTCGTGAAGAAGGTTAGTCCCATCGAAGTATTTTCTCATGTGGTCGTCAATGAGACTTTCCAATATCTTCGATACCACTGGAAGTAGAGCAACTGGTCTGTAACTGGTCACATTCTGCCGGTCACCACCCTTGAAGATAGGGGATAGGATTGCACGTTTCCATTCACATGGAAGTTTCCCTACATCAAGGGAGTGTTGGAACAGATCACTTAGGGGTTGACAGAGACTTTCTGAACACTGCTTCAGGACAGATGGTCTGATGCCATCACAACCTGGAGACTTTCCCGAAGCCAACCTTCCCAATTTTGCAAGTACCATAGCCGGGGTAATTTGAAATGTCCCCAGCAGGTTTTCGTGTGTTGGTTCTGCGATGTAATCTGGATGTTCTGTAGGGGTAATATCCTCGTTACTATTTAGTTGCCTGTGAAAGGCTAGG